GTCTTCATCATGGCTGCTCTGCCCCACCTCCTGGGCAGTCTTAGCTTATATGGACTTTTTGACATCACCTTTGGGGGCCCCATGAAGGTCAGCAGTTGTTGACTGCTAGCCAACCAATTTGAAAAGCATCCTCACTACCTTGTGGAGTGAATGGGGCTACAGACTCTGCCCCCACCAGGCCATGAGGTCTTTGCTTAGGACAATAGTGAGGAAGGTCCACCCCCTCTCACCTGGCCCAGGTCAGGTAGGCAGAGCTGATTGCTTAGGGACCGGAGTGATGGACAGGTAAGAAGACAATGATAGAGGGGAAAAAAAACTAGCAGGAAAGACAGGAAAGAGACTGGGGATGAAAATCCTCCACAGTGCCCGTTTCAAAATGTCTCGGGCACATGAGGTCTGTGTCCCACTGACATCCATGAGGGTTCAAGGGGCCTGATTTTTCAAGGGGCTTTGGTCTCCTGAAGAAGGAGATGGAGATTTCCAAACTCACCCATCAAGTGCATGTGGCTTCCAGATGCCTTCAAGTGCCAAAGCACTTTTAAAATTTGAGTCTAGGTGGCTTCTGCACCCAGATGTATGCCCCAAGCCACAGAACACAGCACTCCAGCACCAACGTCTCCTTTTTAGACACGATGATCAGTATCCAGAAGGGTAAAATACAGACCACGTTATACAAGAAACCCACAGACCAACATACATATCTGCACAGAACCAGCGATCACCCCAAGCACACCAAGAAAGCTGTGATATACAGCCAAGCCCTCAGATACCACCAAATTTGCGCTGAGGAGAACACCCGGGATTGCCACCTCTCCAATCTTGCACCCAACAAGGACACTCCTCCAGAGAGACAGATTGCACGTCAGAAAGAGCCACCTGGATGCCACGTGAAGAATTGCTGCAGTACAGAAGAAACCCCCCACAAATCACACACCGCTGGTTATAACATATCACCCCTCCCTCGAACCCGCACGGACAATCCTCAAACAATTGCAACCCATACTAGAAAGAGACCCTACTGCTAAAGAGATCTTCCCAGAACCACCCATTGTAGCCTTCAAACAAGCACCGAACCTCGCCAACCTCATCACCAGAAGCAAACTTCCTCAGGCCCAGAACACACCAAAAGGATCCAGACCGTGCCAGGACAAGAAATGCAAAACCTGCCCCCACATCTCCACCACCCCCACTATTACTACACCCCACAACAGAGCCATCAGCATCCCAGGATCTTACAGCTGCACCTCCAGAAATGTAATATACTTCATCCGATGCCCCAAATGCCCTGATGGAAAACACATAGGAGAGACCAGACAACAACTGCACACCAGAATGAATGCACACCGGAAATCTATCAAAGACAGAAACACCCAATTACCTGTGGGGGCACATTTCACAAGAAAACCACTCTCTCTCCAATCTCTCAGTCCTGATCCTCAAAGGAAACCTACAAAACACTTTCCAGAGACGAGCCTATGAACTCCACTCCATCAGTAGAGACAAGCCTATGAATGAGCCTACGAATTGTGGACTAAATCTAGACATTGGATTTATGACACATTATAACCTGCCTGACATCTGACTCTCCAGGTACCTTTCCACTATTTAACTGCTACATTCATCCCCCTTCTCCACCCCCACCCCAGCCCATCTCTCACCCACTGACTCCTCAATTTACATCTTCACTGGCTGCCTGTCTTGCAAGCAGCCCAGTCCAGCCTCTGGCTTTTTTACTATTCACTCCATCCAGGAAGAGCACACACCAACTGCAGACCCTTCCTCAGCCTGACAAAGGGTTTTTAAACCCAACAGCTTGCTAAAATTTTTTTTCCAACTATTTGAGTTTCATAGATTCATAGATTCATAGATGTTAGGGTCGGAAGGGACCTCAATAGATCATCGAGTCCGACCCCCTGCATAGGCAGGAAAGA